ATCCTTCCATCCTGATTTTATAGAGGTGCTTCTTTTATTTGTTTTTCTTTATAATAAAGTTCTGTTTTTTTAAGAACCTGACTGGGTTTAATGTCCTAAAACCCCAAGGGTCTGGTCTGTGCTCACCTTGGTCACTCTCAAGCCTTCCCAGGAAAGGGGGTGAAGGGGCTTGGGAGGATATTTTGGGGAAACAGGAACTCCAAGTGATCCTTTTCCTGAATCTTTGTCTAACTAACTTGGTGGTGGCAGCAATACTCATCCAAGGACAAGGAAGGATTTGCGCCTTGGGGACGTTTTTAACCTAAGCTGGTAGAAATAAGCTTAGGGGGTCTTTCATGCGGGTCCCCACATCTGTACCCCAGAGTTCAGAGTGGGGAGGGAACCCTGATAGCCAGTGTAAGGGGCCGGCAAGCCACGTGGCCGACCCTGGCAGAAGGGTGGGGCCCATTGTGGGACTGGCCCACAGAAGGGCTTCTCCCAGGGACTGTTTAAAAGCTGGGACCTCGCACCGACCCTGTGGATCCATGACAGAGGGACACCCAAGCCCTGCCCCAGCTCTCTCCCTGGAGGGGCTCCTTGTGGTAACCCTGCCCTGGCGCTAGCCCCTGCAATGCAGCAGCCCAGAACGCTATCCTGGGGCGAGACGGCCAAGGAGGGGGCTCGGGATCCACCCGAAGGGGCAGTTGGAAAGAGTTGTAGGGGAAGGAGAAGGATGTAGAGGCTGAGCTAGTGGGTGGAGCTGGGGAAGGGATCAGATGAGAGAAGAACTGGGAAGTGAGAAGGAGGAAAGGTCTGAGGTCGGGAGAAGCAGGAAAGTCAGACCTGGGTCTGGGAGCAGACACTCAGAGAGGGAAATGGAGGGACGCGCGGGAGAGAGCGTCAAGGCAATCCGCCCGGTGAAAACGGGACCGATGCCAAAGGCAGTTTTAGCTTAAACCAGATCCTGCAAAGGGTCAGCGAGACGCCCCCCGCCTCCACAGAGCCTGAAGCACGTGACCAGAGACTGACCGTCTAGTGAGGCAATACAGGTCAAAGGGGCCCAGTGCCCAGGTGAAGAAACCTGCTTGGGGTCGAACTGGGTGCAAGGGACAGCCCCAGGAGCAGCCAAGCCAAGGAGAGGCAAAGAACAGGCCAGCGCGAGCGGAGCTGCACTGCCAGCCCAGGAGAGGAAAAGCTGTCCAGGCTGCTGGAGAGAGATCTCTGCGGCGAACGCCACGGCTTTGCACCTAGCTGGGCAGCGGGGCCAAGGCCCCACGGGCCCTGAGCGGGGAGCCTAGAGCTGCCCGTTCTAAGCATCATGCCTTGGCCACGGGCTGTCCAATTTCAGCTCCTGCTACCCGTGGGGCTTTCCCGGCTCGCTTCTAAACGTGTCAAAGGAGCCCTTGTGTCCTGGTTTGCTCCGCCTCCCCTCCCAGTTAGCCCAGCCAGGTCAGCCCACTCCTCCCAGCAGGCCCCCGCCCCACCCCACCTCTCCTCCCCAGGGGCCCAGCCCGACCCCCATCCAGAGCCCTACCCATACCTGGGCTCCTGCCCTGCCCCCATCTGGTCTCTCCTCCCAGTTAGCCCAGCCGGGTCAGCCCACTCCTCCCAGCAGCCCCCCATCCCCTCCCCCAGCTAGGGTGACCAGATCGTAAGAATAAAATATCGTGACTCATGGGGGCGGGGAGCACAAAGCCGTAGGAAGCTGCGGGTCGGAGGTGCACTGCCCTGGCTCCGGCCCCTGCTGCAAGGGGGAGTCTCTGGGCTGGGGCAGGAGGTTGGGGCCCGGGAGGGGGTTCAGGGTGCTGACTCCAGGAGGGAGTTTGGATGTGGGAGGGGGCTCAGGGTTAGGGTGCGGGGTGCAGGCCCGGGCGGCGCTTAACTCAGGCAGCTCCCTGGAAGTGGTGACATCTCCCTCTGGCTCCTAGGCGGAGGCGCGGCCAGGAGGCTCTGCACACTGCCTCGCCCACAGGCGCCGCCCCCGCAGCTCCCATTGGCCACGGTTCCCAGGCAATGGGCACTGCGGAGCCGGCACTCGGGAGCAGCGTGTGGACCCCCCCGGCTGTTCCTGCGCCTAGGAGCAGCAGGGACATGTCGCCACTTCTGGGGAGCTGCACAGAGCTGGGTAGGGAGCCTGCTGGCCCTGCACCAACCGGACGCCTGGCAACCTTTCAATATGGGGACAAATGGCATCCCGATCGTCCATCGGTCGGGACGCAGGACAGGGAGTTAAATATTGGGACATCTGGTGATCCTACTCCCGGCCCCGCCCCTCCTGGGCTCTGGTCCTGCCCCATCTGGGCTCTCTTCCCCAGGGCCCCAGCCCAACCCACAGCCAGAGCCCTGCTCCGTCCTGGGCTCTCCCAGCCCCGTCCCACCCTGCTCACCCTCTCGTTGAGCCTGGAGACGCTGAGCGCAGCCGCCCGTTTCTGGGCCTCCCGCAGTGACCTCCTCTGCGCTGCCAGGGTCCGGCGGAAGGCGTCGCCGGTGTCGCGCAGCAGCCCCTCCACGGCCTGCTGTGTGCGCTGGGCCTGGCCCACTGGGCTGGCTGGCCCCTGCACCGAGGCACTGGCCCGCTGCGCCGCCTGCCTCGAGTTCTCTGAGGAGGACTGGATGCTCCGGTAGGACTCTGCCAGGGCACAGGAGCAGGGCATCAGGCCGGGCCGTGGAGAGCTCTGCCCCTGTGTGGCCAGGGAGACGTGGCTGCCCCACCTGGGGGCAGGGCAGGGCAGGGAGGGGCTCCCGTGGGGACTCTGTCTCCCTTACCCCAAAAGTTGGCCTCTTTCCAGTTTGCCAGCTGCTCCTGCTGGCGGGACAGGGTGCGGTTCAGCTCCTGCAGCTCCCTGCTCAGGTTGGCCAGGCGGCCCCTCTGCTCCGTGTCCGCCCCAGCCAGCCCGTCCAGGCGCCCCTCCGCGGCCTGCAGCTGCTTCCAGACCTCGTCCATGTCCTCCCTAGGGGCACAGCTCAGAGTGGGCACAGGGCGGGACCTGACCCCCCCGTCCCAGCCACCAGGCCCTTCTCCCCAGCACAGCGGCGGGCGCATGGGCGCAGGAGGTGGACGTCCCGAGGGTTGGCCGGCGCAGCTGCTGGCAGTTCCAGGCACAGGTGCAGGAGTCTGAGCCGGCACCCTCGTGCCAGCCTTGGCAGTGGGGCTCAGCCCTGCACCCACACGGGGTCTCCATCTCCTTGGCCTCTGCTGGGCCTGCTCGCGAGGGGCCGGCCAGGCCAGCTGGGGCAGCAACATGGGCATCTGCCCCCAGCCCAGCAGGCTGGAGGGGGGCCCGGGCCAGTCCTGCCGGGTGCTCAGGGGGAAGGGTCCTGTCGCCGAGCCCCTCCCCACCACTGCCGCCCCCTTGCCTGGTGTCGTCCAGCCGGCGGCTCAGCTGGCGCAGGAGGGGGGCACCCTGGCTGCTGCCGTCCCCGACCAGCCGCTCCGTGCGCCTCAGCTTGCTCTCCAGGTCCTCCAGGCGGCTGTCACTGAGCTCGGGACCGGGGCCTCCCTCCTGCAGCGCCCGCGCCTGTTCCTGCAGCTGGCGCAGCCGGCCATGCAGCCGGGCCAGGGCCAGGTCCCACTGGGCGAAGCAGGGCGGGCAGCGGTCGCAGCGGGGGAAGTTGTCGTGGAAGCCGCGGAGGCAGCGGTCGCAGCGCTGCCCTGTGAAGCCGGGACGGCAGGCACAGCGCCCGCTGAGACGCTCACACTGCAGGCTCTCCGCCCCGGCCGGGTCGCAGTCACAGGCTGCCGGAGCAAAGGGGGCATGTCACAGCCCAGCCGCCCGCCGGGACGCCTGCCTGAGTCTGCACACAGCCTGGCACGCCAGCTGCCGGGCCTCGCTCTGTGTGCTTTGACTGCTGACCCCTCCCCAGCCGCTCCCATGGCAGGGGCCTGCTCGCCAGCCGTGCCCCCCACTTAGCTCCTACAATGCAGCGAGGCTCCACAAACGCCCAAAGCCCCACGCCTTTCTCTGGGGGGCAGGGGGCTCAGCAAGGGCCGAGCAAAGCAGCCTGCCCAGCGTAGGGACCCCCCCATGGCTCGCACCCCACCCCCCCCAGGCTCACCCCCATCCCCCCGGACTCACCACCATCCTGCTCCAACTTGCCCCCACCCCTCCGGACTCACCCCACCCCCTCCAACTCGCCCCCACCCCTCCGGACTTGCCCCCACCCCCTCCAACTCGCCCCCACCCCCCTCCAACTCGCCACACCTCCCTGGGCTCACCCCCACCCCCCTCCAACTTGCCCCCACCACCC